ATTTTCTGGTATCTTCTTTAATTTCTTTCTTTAAAGTCTCAAAGTTCTTATTGTACAGGTCTTTCACATTTTTGGTTAGTGCTACCCCAAGATATTTTATGTTGCTTGTGGATATTGTGAAAGGTGATGTTTCCATGATTTCTTTCTCATTGAATGTATCATCTGTATATAGTAGGGCTACTGATTTCTTTGAGTTAATTTTGTGCCCTGCTACCTTGCTGAAGGTGTTTATCAGCTGTAGGAGTTCCCTGGTAGAGTTTTCGGGTCACTAATGTAGACTATCATGTCATCTGCAAATAGTGAAAGTTTGACTTCTTCCTTTCCAATTTGTATCCCTTTGATCCCCCTTTCTTGTCTTATTGCTCTAGCTAGAACTTCAAGTACAATATTGAAGAGATATGGAGAGAGTGGCCAGCCTTGTCTTGTTCCTGATTTTAGAGGAAACGCTTTGAGTTTCTCTCCATTTAGTTTGATGTTGGCTATTTGTTTGGTGTATATTGCATTTATCATGTTTAGATATGTTCCTGTTATTCCTGTTCTCTCCAAGATCTTTATCATGAAGGGATGTTGGATTTTGTCAAAGGCTTTTTCAGAGTCTAGTGAGAAGATCATGTGGTTTTTCTTTTTCAGTTTGTTTATATGGTGGATTACATTGATGAATTTTCATATGTTGAACCATCCTTGCATCCCTGTGATGAAGCCTACTTGATCATGGTGGATGAGTTTTCTGATATGTTCTTGGATTCGGCTACCTGTCTATTTATAAGCAAAGTTTTTTAAGTGAAGTAAACAGTAGCAGAGACAGTGGTGTTAAAAAACTATATGCATTGCGGGAGATATACTTGTGAAACCCAAGTGAGAAAATTTTAGTTTTGTTGAGCTTACTATTCTAGATTTAATGTCATATGTATCCAGGATTATTAATATTGAGTTTAGGAAGTGCAATGCTACATTTTTCCCTAGATGGAGGCAGTATATTTCAGGTGTAGTCAGAAGTTCATATAACTATGCCAGTTGTGTTGGCACGTGTCTTTAAAGCCAGCACTCAGAAGACTAAGGCAGGTGGATATCTGTGAGTTCAAGGTGAGTTTCAGGCGACCCAGTTCTACATAGGGAGACCTATCTCAAAGAACACTTCATATAGCTAAGAATTAAGAGTGAGAGATGAAATAATAGGAGAGATAAGAATCTGAAGTGTTATAGGAAGTTTTTCTTCGTCATAAAATAGGTAGTAGATGAGAATTTATAAGATCTACTCTCTCCCTTGGCACTCTGATAAAATGATGTGATAGTATCATCTAAATCACAGAAAAAGCTCTTACAAGGTGCACTTAGAAGGAGCTAAACCCAATCTAAGTTCTGCTAGATCTGCATCTAAGGTGGTCAGTATCAGTACAGCAGTTGAGATCATGGCATTTCTGAAAAAGGTCTATTCCCAATAATGACAAGTATACAAATGATTTATTGTGCTTTTTTCTAGAATTCTGCCAAGTTAATGAACAATTTGAGAGGCAATGTCAGGATAGCCAAGATAAGTATCTGTTGATGCAAGTTGGATTCCCTGATGACAAAGTAATTACCAAGAATGACCAGAACTATACTGAATTTGGAAACACATTTCATCTGAGCACAAGTCTTATTGTTCCAATGCAAAGGTCCCATAAATTTGAATTGTTTGGAAATAATATGGTGGACAATGTAAGCCTATTTAATGGATGCTCTCCAGAAAATAAATATGATACTGGGTGTGCAAAATTATTCTTCCATACAGAATATGAAAAACCTAATTTCATAGTGAAACCCTATGGATATAAAGAATATGAAAAAAGCCTCAGGCGAAAGAAAGGTCTTAGCCTTCATCAGAGAATTAAAAATGGAGAAAAGCCTTTTGAATGTACTGCATGTCAGAAAACCTTCAGCAAAAAGTCACACCTCATTGTACATTGGAGAACTCATACAGGAGAGAAACCATTTGAATGTACTGAATGTGGGAAAGCTTTTAGCCAAAAGTCTCAGCTCATTATACACCTCAGAACTCATACTGGAGAAAGACCCTTTGCGTGTCCAGAATGTGGCAAAGCCTTCAGAGAAAAGTCAACTGTCATCATACATTATAGAACTCATACAGGAGAGAAACCTTATGAATGTAATGAATGTGGGAAAGCCTTCACTCAGAAGTCAAACCTCATTGTTCATCAAAAAACTCACACAGGAGAGAAAACCTATGAGTGTACCAAGTGTGGGGAATCTTTCCCGCAAAAACTTGACCTAATTATACACCATAGTACTCACACAGGAAAGAAGCCTCATGAATGTAATGAGTGTAAGAAAACATTCAGTGATAAGTCAACCCTTATTATACATCAAAGAACTCACACTGGAGAGAAACCTCATAAATGTACTGAATGTGGGAAGTCTTTCAATGAGAAATCAACCCTCATTGTGCACCAAAGAACTCACACTGGTGAGAAGCCCTATGAATGTGATATATGTGGGAAAACTTTCACCCAAAAGTCAAATCTAGGTGTGCATCAGAGAACCCATTCAGGAGAAAAACCATTTGAGTGTAATGAATGTGAGAAAGCCTTCTCTCAGAAATCCTATCTCATGCTACATCAGCGAGGCCACACTGGAGAGAAGCCTTATGAATGCAATGAATGTGAAAAGGCATTTTCTCAGAAGTCCTATCTCATTATACATCAACGAACTCATACAGAAGAAAAACCATATAAATGTAATGAGTGTGGAAAGGCCTTCCGAGAAAAGTCAAAGCTCATTATCCATCAGAGGATCCACACAGGAGAGAAACCCTATGAATGCCTTGTGTGCTGGAAAGCTTTTAGCCAGAAGTCACAGCTCATCATCCATCAGAGAACACACACAGGTGAAAAGCCCTATGAATGCACAGAATGTGGCAAAGCATTCAGGGAAAAGTCCACATTCACTGTACATCAGAGAACACACACTGGAGAGAAGCCTTATAAGTGTGCAGAATGTGGGAAAGCCTTTACCCAGAAATCCAACCTTATTGTACATCAGAGGACCCATGCAGGGAAGAAAGCCCATGGAAGAGGCCAAACCCACAAGTAAAGCTCACTACACAATACGGAGCAAAGCAATAGTGTCTTTCATATACCCCAAAGGAAAGATGTGTTGATTTAATGTTTAAACAAATTTCTTTTCATCTGTTTTCACCCTAATGCAGGTTGAAAAAGAAACAGATGTGTGATTTCTTTGGAAACCACTGCAACCAGTGGGCTGTCAGACTAAAAGGCAATCATACACAAGAGCAGGAGATTTCAGGGCTCAAAAGTGAATAGCTAAGGACTCTCTCCTGAGGATTGAGTTATACTCTAAGATACATGACCAGAGACAGCTGTGACAAAGACTGTGAGGCCTGAGGAGACACATGCAGACAGACCTGATATTTACAGAAAGTCATCTGACAGGTATAAGGAACAGGAGGTGGGGAAGCTGGGGACAATAAATGCATATAGTTGGTCTTGTTTACTGATTTGGGGAAAGAAAGGTCGAAAAGAACTAACATGAGGGGTTTCTCGGTTGTTTAGAAAACTCATCTGTCTAGAATATGGCCCTGGCTTCTTACCTCTGGCAAACTGCAAGTCCAGGAGCAACTCTTCTCATTCAAAGAAAGACATTTAAAAGTAATCAAAAATCACAAGTAAATTTCCACTTCTAAGAATACATACACTCACATGTGTAGAAAATGATCAAAACATGCAGGGTTTGAAAACGAAAGATTAGAAGCTATCCAAATGGCATCACCTGGATTCTGCTTCCTGAAACTGTGATATATTCATACAGCAAACTCAAGAGACAAAAAATAAACAAAAAACATATGGATATCATTTCTGTAGTGATTTGGGGTAGTCTCCAAGTTACTCATTTGATAGGAAAAGCAAGGTGCAGTGAGTATGATATGCTACAATTTGTATATAAAAAGGAAGAAATGGTAAGTACAGAATGATTGTATAAGCTGTTTCTGAAAATTAATATAAAAATCTGATTACCATTATCTTACTGAAGAGAAAGGGACAGTAGGTGAATAGGGAGATGAAACCTGGAGACACCTGTGTATTCTCTCCTAGCTTTAGAAAGTTGTTCAGTGTGAATATACTACCTTTTTTGAAAAATAAATCTTTAAAACCGTATTTTATTCCTTTAATAATTAACTCTAGGTACAGAATCCATAACACTTAATGTATATAAGCTCAACAGATTTTATTTTCAGTGAATAAATTGAATAATGTGCAAACAGAGGAGCAAATATTCAGTCAATTCCTAAGGTATGTAGGTATTTTTCCCTAGGAATCATGTAAAGTGATTCTAAGGTTACCTGAGACCATATTACATAAGCCTAAAATAGCTGAAACTGGAACACATTTCATATTTAGGGTGAACAGTGACACCTGTGAGAAGTTATTAAAGTTCATAGATATCTTTTCATATCTTAAAGTGATTTAAATGACTCCATATACACATACACTGTTTTCACAAGAAGCATGAAACACCAATTCAATGGGAAGCAGAATAAGTTGCTCCAAATATCTAGTGCTAGTAACGTGATTTTTCCAAGATCAGAGATGAAATTGAGACTCATGAGAACACTATAACAACACTTACTGCAGAACAAGAGGTCTTGCTTGTGAATTGCTGTATTTATAGCCCTCTTGCTAATACGACTGGCTATTCATTCATTCAGTCAGTCAGTCAGTCAGTCAGTCAGTCTGTGTCTAGCATTAGAAGACAACCCAACTATGTAAAACCTGGAGGTCAGTGGGGTTTGTACTTATTAGAACAGATAAATTAGACTTGAGTCTGTGCCTTTCTAGACCACCTTTGTTTTTAAAGTGTGTGAGTGGGTGTGCATGCTCATGTACATGTATATATGCATGTTGAGACCAGAGAGTCACTCTCCCAGCTTATGTTTTGTCTATGCATGTCCATATATATTTTCCAGAGTCAAATCCTAGGAGTTAAATTGCTTTGACATAGATTTCTAAATTGCATTTAAAAAGTTTAATACAACTGCTCTCAATGATGTACTTCATGTATAAAGATTTGCCAAACTTGGGCCCTCTGTAAGAGATCTCTTAACCACTGGGCCATCTTTCCAGCCTCTTTTTTATTCAATTCTGGAAAAATGTGAATGGTAGGCTCAGATTGTGGGGGGTGGGGGTGGTTCAGTGCTGGAGCTCAAACATAGGATTTGCACATGTAAAGAGCTCTCTGCTGCATCCTTGTTCTCACTTTATTTTTGAGCTCTGGAATCACGTATGTCCAATTGTAGAAGAAATGTAGGGCTGACTAGCTTGTTCCTGGTGCAGTCTGCAGAAAAGATGTTCAAGGGAACTGTAAGTAGATTTTTAAAATTTTTAACCAATAGAAAAATCATCTCCATTAAAAGTTATTCTGCATTAAGGTGAGGGCCCAGCTTGTACCTTTTCCTGTGAATTTTGTATACCGTCCTATGCCACAGATGGCAGCTTGCTACGTGTGGGCAAATTGAGGTGAGAGGCATAGACCAAAGAGGAAGAAATGAGGATGAACCACAGGAGGCAAATATGTTGAACTTAGAGGGAAAGAGGAGAGTAATGAAGCACCAAGTGTGGGTAAATGGGGCCAGTAAAGGGCAGAGTTGGGGAGTGACTAGGGAAAAGGGGGGTAAATGTACAATATCCAGTGGAGTAATATCCAATTGTTGAGCATAAGTAAACATGGGTAATATTTGAGAGTGAATGGACAAGTAGATTATATTGGAAGTGAGGGAAGGCAAGGTATGGCAAATGATCCTGCTAGATGCAGTTGAATGGAGAACAGTGCAGGTGAGTGAACAGAGGAAAAGGAGTAGGCCATCAAAATGGACAGGCAGCTGGAGTAGAAGAATGATGGATGCACGTAGGTAACAAGGATCTGTGGTATCAGAAGTTAGAGACATGGGACCTTGGGGTAATGACAGGCAATTGGTGAGAACCAAGAGGAGAACCCCACTATGAGCATAGGTATATGAGATGGAAACCACCTGTCCTCTGGACCCAGTGAAGGTTAACTCAGAGTTCCATGTCCTTGTTGGTATTTATATTTAGCATGTCTGAGACCATCATATATCAAAAAGTAGCTAGGAATAAAATTTTCTCTCTGAAAATGAAAAAAATCCATAGGATCTCTAAATTATTCAAATAAATGAATTCAGCAAGTTTGCTAGATACTAGCTCAAAATTTACAAATTATTTTTCTTTATACCATCAATAACCAGAACAAGGACCGTTAATTCAGTGTGGAGGAACAGAAACATAAACAAGGCCATTCATTGAGACTCTTGAGTCAAGTGAGGATTAACTTATAAATGTCTAGAATGCATTAGGAAAGGAGTTGAGAGCTGAGGGATCATCATAAGGCCATGGATCTGATCCTGGGGGTGAGGTAAACTAGGACCCACAATCAAACCTAAAAAGATATGTCAGTGAACTGTGATGATGTCCTGTCACTGAAGGAGTTGGCTTCTATGTGTTGGAACCACCAGAGGCCAGAGTCCTTTAAGAGTACATGCCAAAGGATTTGTCACCAGCATGGCACAAACTGGATCTTTCTTCCACTCACCACTTCAGTGCTTTTAGTGCTCACTCACCCGTGCAACTTTAGATTTTTCTCCCATCTAGGACTCTATCAACATGAAGGTCATATATACTTTGAGAACTTGTCACCCTTACATAGACATGATTAAAGATTGCCCACTTAAGCTTAGTGTCCAATCATGGCTAAGAAAGGGACGGCTTCAAAGGCTACACAACACAGACACCCATTTCTGTGTAGACCAAGTCAGCCCATTCTACTAGACAAGTGAGAAAACAAATGCTTCCTTCAGGAACCACAGGAAAGGGGAATATAGGCACACACACAGGCAATAAACAAGCTACATGCATGGGCCCATGTATTGGGTCTTCTGCTAAGGTTCTGACTAGTATAGACCTTGTGCTCAGCATCCAATATAAGTGGAATATATGAAAATACAAGGCAGGAACATGCAAAGTTGAATTCAAGAAAGTAGGTGTGTCTATGCTATAACAGGATACAGTAGTTCCTTTTTACCAAATCTGTTTTTTTTTTTTTTTGTTTCAGTCAACTCTGTTCTAAAAATATTAAGTGGAGAAATTCCAAAAATTCTGTTTTAAATTGAGTGCCATTCTGAGAAGAATCATAGTTTACTCCATCCCATAAATGTCTTTTTCAAGCATTTTCATGCTTGTTAGCAACTACCATTTTTAGTCAGTAGACATCTTGGTTTTTAGATTGACTGTCACAGTATCACAGGACTTGTATTCAAATACTTATTTTACATAGTAATAGCCCTGATGCACAAGAGCTGTGATGCAAAAACTTTTATAGACCTTAGAGAATTCTTTAAGTGAAAAACTGAAAGGTCTGAACTGAGTAAGGAGAAAATACAAATTGAGGTTGCTGAAGTCTATAGCTAAGAATGGATCTTTGAAGCCAGGTGTGATGGTACACCTGTAATCCCAGCACTAAGGAGGCAGAGACAGGAAGATCACAAATTCAAGAACATCCTGGGCTACATAGTGAGACCCTATCAAAGAAGAGAGGATACAAGGTGACGGAAGAAAGGGAAGGATTTTCTGTCCATGAGCTTGTGAAGGAATAATGTTCCTACTAATTTTGCTGTTGTACCTGAAAATGCAAATGCTACACTCACAGTGCTCGATGAGGTCATAAGTATGATAGACAAAGCATTAAAGTACCAGGTTAGCTACTTTCCATGGTTTTAAGTCTCACAGGTTGGGTGGCTTAAATGATGAACACACTTCTGGATATGGGAAAATTCAAGATTAAACCACTATCAGAACCTGTGTTTGGTGAGACCCGGCTTTCTGATTTTCAGAAGGCACCTCGTATCTGCAAAAAGAAACTCCCTTTCAATTAAAACACTAATCTTATCATAGGGGCTCCACTATCATGATCTCATCTAATGGAAATTAATAGAGAAAAGCCCCATTTCCTAACCCCCATTCAATTGAAGTTTCGAATTTTTACATAGAAACTTGGGGTACAGTGATGTAAACATGCAGTCTGCAACAGTAGCCAAGTACTTCAATGTCTTTTGGTTCAAGATTCACATAATTCTGAAAATAATTTTGAATGTAAACTACTAATTAGCAAACTTCAAACAAAATAAGTACTGGTTATAAAATTTGAAGCAAAAAAAAACATTAACCAGGATAAAGAAGTATATCTTGTATCAATAAAAGAAATCATGCTCGTCAACAGATATGATACTTGTGGATGAGAACATTTACAATATAGGTTTAAAGTCTATAAAGCTATCCAAAAAAGTGGTAAATCTTGAAATATGACTTGCTTGAATAAGAATTACTAAGCTTGTTACATCATGAAACAGACATGAAATGTTTGCATATGGGAGAAACATGTACAAGTAGTTTAAGTAGAAGATCATGAAGAAAGGCTCAGCAGGCCTTTAATCCCAGCACTCAGGAAGCAGAGGCAGGCAGATCTCTGTGAGTTTGAGGCCAGCCTGGTCTCCAGAGTGAGTGCCAGGACATCTATGTAGAGATCCTCTCTCAAAAGAAAAAAGAAAAACAAAAGCCCAGCAAATCACAGGCACGCATTTGTCTAGGTGCAATGCAATCAGATCAATTTCTGTTATCCTAAATTACTCATGTGTTAAATTTTTAATTAAATTATGAACTTAATTAGAAATAGATGAGTATACAGATGGGGGCATCTGACTAAAACTTGAATAAACACTGCTTATTGTGTAATTTTTTTCATTTCAAGATCATATCTCTTCAACAACCAGCTAGAAATCCTCAAACTCTAGACACTGCAGTAAGGATGTTTTGTTTTGAATTTTTCAATAGTTATATAAAATTTTGTACAATGTGTTTTCATCATATTCACCTGTCTCCCCAACTCCTTCCAAATCCATATCCCTTTATCTAGCCACCTATACTGGCTGGGGGTTTTGTTTTGTTTTGTTTTGTTTTGTTTTTTGTCAACTTGACACAATCTAGAGTCATCAGAAAGGAAGGAGCTTCAGTTGAGGAAATGCCTCCATGAGATCTAGCTGTAAGGCATTTTCTCAATTAGTGATCAGTCCGGGAGGTCCCAGCCCACTGTGGGTAGTACCATCCTTGAGCAGGTGATCTTGTGTTCTAAAGAAAGCAGACTGAACAAGCCAGGGGAAGAAAGCCAGTAATTGAAGCATGAATCTAATTAACCTTAAAAAAATCAAGAGTCAAATATTGGGTAAAAGCTGAAAGATCAGAGAAGCATAGCAACAGCTACCAGATACTTCTTATCTCTCTGAATCCTCAGACCGAAAAGGGCCAAGATCCTGTCTGCTCTGCCTTCTCACTTCCCGTCCACTGTCTGTACAGGCCTCCAGACCTCTGGTTAACTACTGGCTAGCTCCACTTCTGATCTCCAGGAAAGCCTTATTTCACAGAACACAAATTAAATATCACACAACATTTCCCTTTCTGTCTAAATAAAAAGCAAAGGTTTTAACTAACAGATAAACTATATAAAATAAGTACAATAACTATATACAAATATATATATATATATATATATATATATATATATATAGTCAATAATTACATTAACAATGCCTAGTCCATTAACATTTGACAAATTCAAAGAAAATACTCCATTATCTATTCTATCTTGGTGAGTTCAAAGAGTTGTACATATTTCACCTTCTATACTAATTTGTCTTACCAACCAAAAACTATCATTTGTTGTCTCTCAACCTTATACACTTTACACCTCTGTGAGTTTCTTTTCTGAATTTGTTAACAAGCAAAATTATAACTATAATTGTCTAGTCTTCAACTCCATCAGAGACCCAAAAAGCAAATAATATTAACTGAATTAACAGTAAATGCAAGCATGCAACTTCCAAACAATGTGAGAAATGACAGATAAAGCTGGCTGCCTGGACAGTCACCCAAAGTTCCTCTGCAATGTTGAGGCATTCATCTTCAGCCTACAGGCCTAGCATATCTGACAGACTTTTCTGTGAAGCAGGATATTCTAAAGGGCTATCCTACCTTATATTGGCAGAGTTTGGCAGTCCTTTCCTTTGTGCCCATCTTGTCCAATTTGGACAACATACTGTCAGCAGTCAAGGCAAGTGCACTTTCTTGCCCATTGGCTAACTTTTGCCACAAAGAAAGTAAACTACATATGAAGTTCTTTGATTCCCATTGTCTTTTAAGTAGATTGGTGCTGCCAGGAGCAGACATGTCTCATTGTCATAAAAACAAAAACTTATGTTATTAAAACATCCTAAATTCCATATTCTGTAGATCTCTGAAGTGTTTGAAGAGCACTTTCCTATCTAAAATATATCTGTTTGACCTTGAAAACATACCTAATGTGAC